TTTTAAACGAGCTTATTAAAAAACACAATGTTTAGATTTTACTACACAAAATTCAATAACATTACAATTAAGTTTTTGTTTTGATTAATTAAAAAACAAACTACCTTTCTAAACTTTAATAAATATTAAACACAGAAACATAATTTGGAAAGAAATATAGATGTAGGATGTTACCTACAACTCGATTTGTTATTTTTATCAACTTTAGATGAGTATAGTTAATTTGTTTGGTGCCTACAATAATAACTTTATAATAGGTCAATGTATATTATAATATTATAACTTTATAATATTTTAATTTTGAAGCGAGTTATAAGTATTTTAATAAGAACAAAAAAATTACAAATTTAGAATACTTATAAGTCGCTTCAAAATTAAAATATTATAAAAAGCCCATGAGSTTGTCTAAATAACAATCTTATCTTTAAATTTTATAAGAGGTCGATTCTCTCTCATTCTTAAAATAACGGAGTTAAACGTGATCTGCCGAGCGTAAGACGTGCGTAACATTTACTATGTTATGGCTGTTATGCACACTTAAAATAAGACGGAGACAACACACGTGGGTGAGACTGCCTCTTAATCCGATGTCACTGGACAGAATTATTTAGAGTTACCTTTAAAAGAAATCACACTTTATATTATGTTACGGTTAAAGTACGAATATCGGTTAAACCATGACAAAATATTTTGTCATGGGTAAAACCTCGGATTTACCGGTAAATCCTAGTTTTCGCCGACTGCGGCGACTACTGTTGGTAAATGTCCGAAATTCGGACTTTTACAAACGAGATTTGGTAAATCTTAAGATAAACATTCAGTGTTAGCAAAAGTCAAAACATTTTACCAAAGTTATTAATTATTATTATTATTATTATTATTATTATTATTTAAGTAGCTATACTAACATCAATGACTAATATTATATTAAATACACCCATAATCACATTTATATTATTGTAATATATTATGACAACTAAACTGCGATCGGCTTTTATCTTTATTATCATAATTATTATACCTGTCCGAATTTCGGACATTTACCAACAATAATCGGCGAGCGAAACATAGACATATTAATAAATATTATTAATATGTCAATGGAGGGAAACCTAGGATTTACCGGTATTCGTACTTTTACCGTAACATACTAACATAATAGACGTATATATATATTATATAATATATTTTACTGGATAATTTAATTTAAAATAAAATATATGCCAATATTTTTTATAATAACATAAAAATATAAAATGTTTTAATCTATGCTAATATTGCTAATACTAACACTAGGCGGTCCGCACTCCGCAATATAAATTTGTCGTGGCCAAATTCATAGGCTCAATTATATTTTATTATTTTAGAACAAATGTCTCTTAGAAAAATGGGTTTTTGGAACAAAATGTGATACTCCATCTTTTATTCCTTATCAATGGCTAACGTTGGCGACTTGGTATTTTGCGATAATCTTTTCTTTCTTTTCCTACTTGAAACTTGTAACGTGTTGAGTTCTGATTTTCAAAAAAACTCGTAAATTCCGAAATAATAAATACTTCGGACAGACGTAGCACGTTAGGAAAAACATCAAACACACTATGGCTGTCATAGATTTTCAAACTGCGCCAGGCGTGGAATTCCTCGAAAAATACTTAAGCAAGAAAAGTTACATCGTTGGGTAAGCGGCTAACCTAAAAACCATACGTACTTACCCGGTGTACCTACTTAAGTGTACTTATATTATTTTCGGGTATACACGTTTCAGATACGAACCATCTACGGCTGACGTTGACACTTATAATGCAGTTAAAGCGCCCCAGGCCAACACGCCTAATTTGCTCAGGTGGTACAATCACATCAAGTCGTTTACCGACAAAGAGCGCACTCAGTTCCCAAAAAAGAAATCTGACTTTTCAGCGGCTCCGGCAAGTGCACCAAAACCTKCAGATGATGATGATGATGATGTAGATCTTTTCGGTTCTGACGATGAAGATGTATGTTTTGCATTTTTTTTTTATTACATAAATATATATTCTAATATTTATTTACCTATTTCATTACTAACATTTTGATTTAAATGCGCATTAATTTATCGTTTTATTGTGTAGGTCTGATACAGCCCTAATTTTTAAAATAATAGTCTTACAATGCACATATCTCTTGTATGCCTCTCGTTCAATTAAATTTTAGTACCATTCCATAGTTTGCCTTGAATTTTAATGATAATTATTTTCCTTAGGAATAAGTTTATAATAATGATATAATTAGTATTTGGTATTTAATTTTTGTTGATAATGTATTTTCTAGGATGAAGAAAAAGAACGTATCAAACAAGAAAGGGTAAAGGCTTATACTGAAAAGAAAGCCAATAAAAAAGTAATCATCGCCAAAAGTAGCATTGTACTTGATGTGAAACCGTGGGATGATGAAACCGATATGAAAGAATTAGAAAAACAAGTCCGAACCATCAACATGGATGGTTTAGTATGGGGAGCTTGTAAGTATATTATAGCACATATTTTCTGAAATTTATAATTGTTATAATATTGTTAATATTTTTATATTTTAGCCAAATTAGTTGAGATTGCTTTTGGTATCAAGAAACTCCAAATTATGTGTGTTGTAGAAGATGATAAAGTATCTGTCGACGCTCTTACCGAGACCATTCAAGAATTTGAAGATTTTGTTCAATCTGTGGACATTGCTGCATTCAACAAAATTTAAGATCTTTTTAATTCTTAGATATTTGTCAATTTACTGAATAAACATGAAAATATAAAGCCAATTAATTTTTAACTTATGGTAATAATATTTTTATTTTATTTGTTCAAAAATTATAATTTATATTTGCTATATAATAATAATAACTGTGGTATTGTTATCAACAGTTGTTATTAAATAATCTTCTGTTAGAAAGCCATTAAATGCACAAATCCAAATTCAAATGATTAACTAAGAGCTTATGTAATAAACTATAGACTGAAAGTATTATACTCTTAGTTCATTTTTCTATTCTAAAAGTTTGAAAGTTGTTTTTTATAAATTCATTAATTTATTGACTGAGGATGATACAAAAAAGTAATAGTTCTAACACTACTGAAGTACTGGTCGGTATAAGATATTCTTCAAATGCGATTTGAATTATGCATACTTCATATCGCAAGGTGAATCTACTGTTGAAATAATTAAATACTATTTATATTCAAAATTCAAAATACAAACAATCAAAGTAAATCATATAATATACACTACGGCTAGTTGTACAGCTCGTAGGTATTTATATAATTTTGTCCAAAATATTCTGTCATACTTTTTAAAAACCGAACAGAATGAATGTTCAATTTCACTATTTTTCAGCTAATTGCGTATTATAGCACTTGTTTTAAATTTTGTTTAGGTCATACAGCGTATATTTCAATGTATACAAGGTGAGGTACCGTGGTGCATGTTGTTTGCGGATGATGTAGTGTTGGTTGGAGAGAGTGGAGGAGTTGAACTATAGACAGGAAGAATGGAGGGAAGCACTTGAGAGTAGTGTTAAAAATTAGTTGAAGTAAAACAGTGTGATATTAGGAACAAAAATTCCCTGGAAAAAAAAGTCTCCAAATTAATATTTGATTTAAATTCAGTCTTTTATCATATTATAGGTATATTTATAATTTATATAAATAGGTACAAAATAATATAATAATTAATAATATGACATCTTAAACATCTATAAAAATATTATTTAAAAAATATAAAAATGTATTTATTCAGATATAAAAGATATGTAAAATATGTCGTATAAATATAAAACAAATATAGGTACATGTTAAATTTATTGAAAATAATATAATAATAGTATAATTCATAATGTAATATATTTCAATCTAAAATATGTGGTCTAATGTTATTTAAAAAATATAAAAATGCATTTATTTATATTAAATTTTTAATTATTTTACGATAGGACATTATATCTAAATAAATACATTTTTATATTTTTTAAATAACATTACCTATAGATGTATAAGATATTATATTATTTTGTTCCTATGTTAATTATCTTCAACAAAACATGTATGTAACCCATGGGCTATAATGTAACTATTTATATAAATTATAAATATACCTATATGATAAAAGACTGGATTTAAATCAAATATTAATTTTGGAAACTTTTTTTCCGTTTACCAAACAGTGTAGGTTTAATCTTGGAGATAGAGTCCAAAGAGTAAATCAGAATAGGCATGTAGTGAATATGGTGGGCGAGGTAGTGACAAAGTTGATAGTTTCAAGTACTTAGGATCCGTATTACTAAAGAATGGCGGTTTATACGAAGATATTATGCATATGATTAAGTGTGGATGAAGTGACAGAAGCATCTAGTGTTTTATGCGATAGAAGAATCACAATTTGGTTGAAATGTAAATTTTATAAGGTAGTAGAGTAAGGTCGATGTATGGATCGGAATGTTGGACTATAGATAAGACAATGGAGCGGAAAATGAKAGTTGCGGAGATGAGAACGTTAAGGTGGATGAATGGAGTGACGAGAGAGGACAAAACAAGAAATGAGTATACAAGATGAGGTAGTACAGTAGTGGCTCCAATAGTTGACAAATTGCGTGAGAATAGGCTGAGATAGTGAGATGGCTAAGACATGTTTTAAGAAGAGAAAAATCTGAGGCAATTTCAGTGACAAAGAACATGAGTGTAGATGGAAAAAGAGGAAGAGGAAGATCGAAAAAGAGATGGAAGTAATTGAGCGCGATAAGAGAATGACTGGTGTCTGTGAGGAGGATGCTAAGGATCGCAGTAAGTGGAAATTAATGACCAGAGCGGCCGACTCCAAATAGTTGGGAGAGAATGCAAAGGAAAAGAAGATAGGGCCTATTTAAGTTATTTTTAGTGCTATAAAATGTGAGTCCTAATAATTAACTGTAACGTCTGTAACGTAATGTAATTCTATTGTTTAATTATTATTTGACGTATCGATCAATCGAAATATTTGAATATGATATATTTTTAAATTACTTAAGACCTACTTTCAAACATGATTAAAAATTCAAACTATTGTTTGATGATTTTTTTTTATAATCTTATAAGTATTGTATATTTGTGTCTATAAAGTAAAAAATAGTGATTATCATCCAAATATTCAAAAAAACGTAACATTTTATTTCGGGGATTTAATTTTCACAGAATTATTCATAATGCGGTAAAATAAAACAAAATATTATTAAAAAACATTTGTTCGATCGTTTTCACGTAATTACGAGCATTAGCCATTAATACTCATGACTTTATGAGTAGCCTGTGGGCCGGGGGGGTGTGGATTTTTGATAATTGATACAAAACCCGAATCGGTCAAATCCAATTTAGTGTTGAATTAGTGCCAACGTGCCAAGCTGACACGACACGACGTCATGATAATACTATTTTTATTTTTTAATATTTATTCGATAACCGGATAACCTCAAAATCTTATCAAAGGCGTCAGGCTTGTCGTGTGTTAAGACGTGCAACAAACACTGTATAGCAAAATTTCATTGATAAGATGGAATATTAATATTTTAATGAATGTACACAGAGAGACGAGAGTAGCAAAGTGCAAATATTAAACATTTCAAGCGCTATAAACAAGTTAAAAGCAACAAACAGTAGTAAGTACCAACTAGTGTACCTACCTACACGACTACACGGCTACACCCTGATCGTTACTAATAGTTAAGTTTACTCACAGTAATACGACCTGTTTAGATTTGTCTTTTCAAGCGAAATCCGCAATGGAGCCGGCAAGGAAACGAGGTGCACTAGCGGGGGCTGGCGAACCGAACCCCACAGGTCCCGACGATCTTGTTACGGAAATGGTTGAGTATTCATATTTTATTAACAATCCTGCTAAAAGTTTGAGGTCGTAGACCCGAACGCATATTATAATATTTCATTACGGTGTGCCGGATGAGTATGGAGCATGGGGTAATAAGATCGATTGTAGATTTGGATTTAACAATTTTCGACAAAAGAACAAGGGATGTAATTGTGAGCAACAAATCATAACGTCCCGACCATCGTATTTTGTAAAAAGATGTATTTCGTAAAATATATCATTTAAAGCAACGATTAGGGAAGGAGTGTACGATTATTGGCCTATTAAATTGTTTACAGGATGCTGGTTTTCCAGGAGCTGAGTCTACGATCTCTGGGAATAATTCACTGAGTTGAGTTAGATCACAATAATATTATTTCATATTATCTGTAATATTACACTCAATCCCTTTCAAAACGCGATTTCAATATTATTATCCATTGCTAAATATAATTTTTGAGAACGATTGGCTATTTGATAAACATGTTTCTGATTAAAGTATTAAGCCAACTTTAGTTCTATTTTAATAGAAAAGTGAATATTGTAATATTTTTATTATTTTTATTTAATATTGACATATTGTCACAATTTGTAAACATCACTAAAACTAAACACATACATCCCATTTTGTATGTTATGACGTTAACTAATTATGTTTATTTTATTTCAGTCCATTGATGTTGAATTTGAGGGACGCAGCCCAGAAATCACAGATTTTCATTGCATTAAACAGTTATTACAACAACTATTCTTAAAGGCCCCTGTAAACTTGTCTGATATGACTTCAGTATTAATTCATCAACCCAACATTGGGTCAGTTATAAAGGTATATAGTTTAATAATTATTCAGGGAAACCCACACTAGCATTTTACTTTATTAATTTCAAATGTATTTAATTAAATAGCAGATATAATAGTTTTTACACATTTGATAGCAAAAATATACTGATATTCAAATCGTTTTTAAACTTCACCTAATATTTTCATATTTTTTTTAAAGATATTTAGTTGTTTTTTACTATTTAAAAAATTATTTTTTGCATATTTTTGAGTTTATAAATATGTATGTCTAATACTCATTTTTGTATTTAAATCCGGGCCTTAATAATAACTATAACAAGCCTTGCTACCAATCGCAAAAAATTATATAAATTATTGATAGATTGTTATTACATATTAAAGTTTGCACAAAATATTTCTTAGGTATTATAAACATTTAGGAATTATGTAATTTTATTTGTGTAACATAAAGTATTAATTTGAGTTATAAAATTAAAAATTAAATTACTTTTGATTAGCAAGTTGCTGATAATGATGATGATGATGATGAAGATGATGATGACTATTATGGTGTTGATGCCAACCAAGTATTTGGAATAACTTCAATAATTAATATTACAGAGAAGGTAATGTTACTTATTTTCTGATTCAATGCTTTAACCTAATACTGAATTATTCATATTTATTATAGACAAGTGAATGTGTAGAAAATTTACAGAAATTATTGTTGGACTTGAGTAACTTGCATAGTGATAGTAACACAACACGATTTGTAAACAAATTATTGAGTGATGATGATAATCAAGTTGGATTGGTAATAAACGAAAGATACGTCAACATACCCCCACCTATTTCTGTGCCATTATTTCAAGCCCTTCGGTACTATTATAATTTTTATTTAATAAATGTAAATAATATTATTTTATTTTCTCTTTTCTTAATTTTGTCTCTGAAAACACTCATTATTTTAGTAGATATTTAGTAGAAATAAATGTTTACCAATTTATAATGTTTAATGTATATTATTAAATAATAAGTGTTGTTATGTTTCTGTATTGTGTATGTATTTTATGTTATGATAAATATAATTTCAGCAAGGAATTGTCCAAGCTAAAAATCAAGAAACAATCATACAATTTTGATTATATTATTATGATATGCAAAATTTACAAAGTGAAAAAGGATAAGAAGGCAAACAAAAGTTATGAAGACTCAGAAATAATATGGTCAAATGGTGAAGAGGAGTTCTTTGACGAAGTATGCAAATAGGAAAAAATAAATTGTTTGTTGGCCTATCTTGTGGTATGCACTCTACTAGCAGTCACAAATTTCTTGTTGTATGCATTTTACTATTATATTACAATAATAGTATTTGATASTTCTAAAGTCAAAACTTCTTAACTGTAATATTGTATAATAATATAATTCAATACACTTATAAATATATTTCACCGCTATTACAAGTATCTTATTGAAACATAGTGGAAAGGAATCTATAAAAAGATGTATTTGACACATTTTTTAAACAAAGACATGGCTCAAATATTTAAATATTTTTTTCTCTAATTATTATTCTATAAAAGAACAAAATTTAAAATTGTACATTAATAATTAATAAACTAATAAAGTAATAACTGATAAATAATGAGAAGACAACAATAGTGTTATTTATAATATACGTAACTTCAGGTATTATTTAATTTATCATTAAAGCCATTCTTAAATCCAGCCTAAATATAATTTTATTTAAATAATGCTGTAGAGAGACAAAGATGGTAAAGCGCATAATGCAATCACATGTTATATATGACATAATAAATACTCGTATGTATAAATAATAGAACATAATATATTTTGTGTTTGTTTCAGGCAGCAGATTACAAGTTTGAGTTTTGTGTGCAAAATGACAAGGGTTCTGGCTTGGCAGGCAGCTGGGTAGAGTCAGATCCTGAAATGATTCCTTTTAGACGTGTTCTTATTTTCTCCATGGAAAAATTCTGTTCAATAACAAACCAACTTGAATCTTTGTTAGGAAGCAATGGTGCCAAAAGCTATCAGCATGAAGGTTAATTCGCTCTTTATACATTTTTTTTATTAAGTTAAGTTAAATTTATTGCATTTTTTTCAATATAATTTAATGGCATATAATTAAATTTAAAATTTCTACTAATTTTCCTACATATTATTAATTTATATTCAAGAAAAAAATACATGATTATTAGAGTGTGAATGACAATTTGTTTGCTGTTTTATTCCTGTTTCTCAAAATTCATATAATCATTTATTATTATTATAAATTGCACAAGTAAACTGTCCCATATTATGACTCGTGGTGAGTACTCACAAATGACAAATATTTTGCAAAGTGATATCAGTTGCTAGAACCAAGCTTAAGACATAAGACTATTACTGTTAATAATATCAATTCATGATAATTTATTAACTTACATTAATAATTTAATGATGAGTTCTGTAAAATTATGCTGTTATAAATAATTATTTAATTAATATTAAATTAATCAGTTTTTATTTAAATGAGTTGATATGGGTTACATAAAGGTTTACAGCTGTTTTTGTAACCACCTTAGAGTTTTTCTCAACATAAGACTAAGAAAATAAATTATGTGATTACTATAGAGTAAAATATTATTATTTTTTAGGTAAGATTTTCTGTGTTTCTTCCCAGTAGATGACCATCACTTTATTTTATTGAAGAACTTGATCCACTCTATATTTTTCCTGTTGATAAAACAAATAATACAAATTAATCTTAATACATTGAAAACATGATTTAATATAATACAATAATAACTTCTCAGACAGTCAGGAATGTCTTCTGATGGTTGTCCAACAACAGTTTTGGAATAAAATATATCTAATATATTACACAACAAAAAAACAATTAGGGTATTCAAAATTTTATTTCATAAAATATAATTAGGCACTTATATAATATTACTAATAAAGTAATAACTAGTGGCACTCGAAAAAAAATAGACATCTTATAATTTAACACTAGTGCAAATAATGAAAATTGAGATTCCTTAACAAAGACTTATGAACCATCAGTTATTGGATATCAAGTGCAGTCGAACATCTCCAATAAACAATAAGTGTTTATGTGGAGCGAAGACATCATAAAACTAAATATTTTCTAATAGTTACCATAAAAATGTCCGCTGCTATTGAAGGATCGAATTAGTTAACTCATTGAGGCGATCCCCTCTTAAAAGCGATTCTAAGCAAGACGGTAAATTACTATGACTGTTAGTATATATATATATATATAAATAAGAACATTTTATTTTATGTTTTATTCATAGATCTATAGTTTTATTGATACAGCACAAAGGCAAATGTCATATGAATTGCCTAAATATTACTCCTTAAAACATGCTACGGTATAGCCCACTTATTGTGACTAATTTGATTGTCAGTATCAGTAGGTAGGTATAGTAAAGTAGATAGAATTAATTTTTGGCAAAGCATTACATTTTAAATGTAATGACGAATAATATTTTTAAATTGTAACAAAAAACCGTTACTGTTATTCTTAGTCTAGCTAATTAAAAATATAAGTTTATAATATTTTCTGGTTACAATACTAAACACTTATGTGGAGTGGAACCTTGTTTTAAATGTTTAGCTTTTTGACGCAACACAATTTTTTTTATTCATATTTATAAATGTCTATAAATTGATCGAAAATTATAAGAATATTTTTTTTTTAAATAATGCCATTTATATAAAATGCTAATATAAACATTTTGTGAAGTGTCTGCGGTTATTCGTTTTTAAATTAGGTAAGTTCGACAAATAAAGAAAATCGTTCGAATATCCAATACGGTAAAAATTTGAATTTCACACTCATACACATTGGAGTAGATCCATTAAATTTCAGCAGGTGCAAAATTTTTATCGGTCCGATAATCGTAATGACAAATTAAGTCTTATTACTCATATTTAAAGTTGATTGCATTGCTTGAGTGTATTATATGTAGGTATCTTTTTATATTTGATAATAATATAACATAAACAAATATCAAAATCTGTAGGTACCTATATTTTAAATACTATATGTGCTGTTGCTGTATCTGTACTATGATTCATTATGCGTATAAAAATATAATATTTATGAGAAATTAATTAAAGTGATAAATAAAAAAGTTTAAACAAAATTCAACGAATTAATGATATACAGTAAGTTGATATTGCAGTATTTTTAAGGTATAAAGCTCAGCATCTGCAGGTGCAAAAGCATATCTTTGCACCTACTACATGATACCAGGAGGTGCAAGTGCACCGTCGTGCACCCCCGTAATTACGCCACTGCTCATACAAAATGACCCTGGTCAACTTTTTTTTTTTATAAAAGATAGAACAATAAATTATAATCCAGACTTATTGCTACTAAATTTGCATTTATTTGTAGGCACAAAAAGAAAAATCAATATAAATTAATTCTAATTCAAAACAGTTTGCAAATTTTCGTGATTTCTACAAATTCTTTTCAAGTTTTAAATTTAAACGTTTATGTATTTTATTGTTTTAGATATTTTTAAATTTCTGTATGAACAATAAGTCAATAAAAGATGAAGAACTCCGTGTTAATTTTAAAATAATTGATCCAGTGAATACATTTTTAAACGAAATAAATAGGTAAACCTAAACTATAAATAAACACTATTTTGGTAACCAATATATTTTTGAAAAAACTTGTTAGGGAGCCAATTCATTAGTAAATTTCTGGAAAGTAAAAATAATGGTGTATAAAAAAAACAATAAATTTCGTAGAAAACTGGTTTGCATTAAAATTACAATTTTTGCCTAATTTTTTTTTCGTTTTCATCTCAAAGTACTTACTAGGCCCTAATCGTCACTATAGAAACTATCCTCTAAGTCTTGGAGTCTAAGATAGAAAATCGAACCAATTTTTCAACCACTTTTCGTGTGAAAATAGGCAAAAAAAAAACGTCTGACATTTGAATCTAATACATTCTTAGCAGTGTTGTAAAGTATTTGAATAAAAGTATTCAAATACTTTTTTACGTATTGAATACTTTTATTCTTGAAGTGTTTGAACGGTATTTTAAATACATTTTATTAGTATTGAATACTATTTTATTAAATACTTTTTTTATTCCTTTAATACTTTATTCATTGTCAAATAATAATGTCATAATAATATTATAAATATAATATTATTTATCATTTATGAACAATTCGATATCGGTTTTAGTTTTCGTCTATTAATAGCCTAACTAAATATGTTTTACTCCGAGAAACCGTCTGTTTATCGTCGACAACGATCGCAATTCGCAACGGTACGTTATCGGTGTACCTACTACCAAGCAGTGCGTCAGTAGAGAGAGAGTGTTTAGTGTTGGTGGTGCAACAATCACCAAAAAAAGAACTAATATGACTGATATGCATTTCGAACAAATTATGTTCTTATAATGCAACACACAAATGTTCGATTAATATTATATTATATTAATACATTATGAATGATTCAGAATTAAATTGATTTTTTTGTTTTGTATTTGAAAATTWTGTCAAATACTTTACTATAGATAGTATTTGGGTGGTATTTTAAATACTTTATTTTATAAGTATTTGAGTAATTACTTAAATACTTTTTAAAAGTATTTTTTACAACACTGATTCTTAGGCTCTTAGCTTAGCTCATGTCTTAAAAAAATTGTATTTTTAAAAACAAAAAGTTCAAGTGGGCTTGTAATTTAGGGTAATATAATAATTAAGAGTATTGTTATAGGTCGGGGTAGAATTTAGCCATTTAGGTGTGTAAATAACAGTATAATATATTTTTTGCTATTTTATATCTGTGGTTCACTGGTACCTACAGTGGCGTATTTTGGGTGATTTCTCGGGGAGTGGGGAGTGTCCAACATTTATTAAACCTCACAAACAAAATTTTAAGAATTATAACGTAATTATTTTCAAAGTTAATATAAATAATGTAAGGTATAAATCTCTAATCTGATAAACTATAAACTTGATTTGAAAATAAACTAGATACGTTCATAATATTTTTGTTGTTATTGTATTTTTCGCTGCGACCCGAGGGTATTTTTATTATCGAAATGATCCGGTGAAATTCAAATAATTTCTGGATAGTGGATATTCTTGATAAACAGTTGATAAATTTCTGGTGTTGTCGAATCTAATCAAATTAATTTTCAGTTTTGCCGTTTATATAAAAATATCATTTATTTAATAATAAAATAAAAATAGCATACTATAAAATAAATGATAACACCAATGTCCAATATACTAGGACTTTTTTTTTAAGTCGGGGGGGGTGTCGTGCAAACATGGAGGACATCCCTCCCAAAAAAAAAATATATATATACGCCACTCAGTACCTATTAGTTACTAATTACTTGATACTTGGGTATTTTATTTCACTTAATTGCATAATAATAAACCAATTTTAACTAGATTTTCATATAAAGAAAACATTACATTTTTTCTAAAAAATTACCTTTTAGGTATTTATCTGATCAAAATRTTATTTTAAATAGAAAATTAATTATTAAATGTTTTTTAGTATGAATACATCTTTTATTCATAATATTCTTTATGACAAAACACCATTTTTTTACTCTTTTTAATACTAACTTCAAAATTTTTTTACGATAATTATTTAATAATTTCTGAAGAAATAAACGTTTAATACAACCATCGATTTGTATAAGCTATAGATTGTCGAAATAATGTAGTTATTTAAAATCCTAAGTACTTTTAATGCAATATAAGCTGAAAATTAGTTTATATCAACAATGGTAATTAATAAGAAGATAATTACAATTATCAATAAAATTGATGTTTGTTTTTATACCATCAAAACATTATATGTTATACCAATATTCTATTCAAATTTTAATACCATTAATTTACCTAAATTATTTCATTCMCAACTTAATGTGATAATCAATCAAAAATTAATGAAAAATTTAAATACTTAAAATATAACTTATAATTCGTTTTTATAGATGATAATATAAATATTTTTAGATTGAAACTAAAAATAAAAACCAATAATTATCCAAGTACTTTTATATTTTAATAATAAAGATACAATTCAGATATTATAAATTAGTAAAAAAGTTTGTTTACAAATTAATGGTACAAAATAAAAAAGAAGTCCATTTAGGAAATGAGTTCTTAAGTATAATTAGACGTTACATAATTATTAATTAATTAATATAGTAATGTATAACAATACTAACTTAATCRAAGTTTTAATTTAAATGAGTTGCTATAGGCTACAAATACTGGGCATACAGTTATAAAATTAGGTACTTAATCTAGGCAAAAAAATGTAAATTTGTTTTGATGCAATCTAAATTAAGGACACACTGCACACGGAACACACAAATATTGAGATTAATCCTAAGTAGTGTCTTATTCGTCATCTTCCTCTTCATTTTCTTCTTTGCTGTCTTCTTCTTCAGCAGATTCCTCCTTTTCTTTTTTGTCATTCTTCTTTGGGCGACCACGTTTACCAGTCTTGCTCTAAAAAAAAAATTTATTAATTAATAATTTAATTATTATAGTATAATATTATTAACATACCTTAGGCTTGTCTGCTTTTTTTCCAGCGGAAGCCCCAGATTTTGGTGGACGACCTCTGCCTCTTTTTGCTGGAACATCTTCGTCCTTTTTTACTACATCTTTGTCTTTCTTCTCAACTTCACGTGCACGCTTCTTGGGTTCTTTAACAGAATCCTAGTAAAAAACCATAAAAATATAATTTTTAATATTGTATGTTATGACACTAATAAAGAAGATATTAATTTAATACAATAGGATAATTACCTCAGACTTGTCTTTTGCTGGGCGTCCACGCCTCTTTTCTACTACGGCTTCTGAATCAGACATCTAAAAATGAAAAAATAATTTTTTTTTATGATATTAAATAGGTCACTACATATTTTGTACAACAAAAAATTTAATTGGTAATAAAAATATAGCCACCTTCAGCTATTTAAAAAACGTATTATTAATTTTTTACTATTATTATGAAGATCATGTAATCATTTTATACGCTATATTAACCACCCTAGTTTCAATGATTAAATTACTTAAACAAAACCGTTTCTATTGTGTATAATAGTTGTAGCGAAAAGTTTGCGAAAAAAATAAATGTAAGATCTAAATTGAAATGCGACAATAACGAGAATTGAACAGAAGGAAAGCGAATAATAAAAAAAAATAAAAACATATGACCGAATACGACCCGGGCATTCATACCTCGCCTAGAATTAACAATAAATAAATGTCTGTTGATCAAAGACGTCATTAATCTAATTAAATACAAGCGTAATAATAATAATAATAAATAATATATAATGTTTAACAAAGATACCTCTACTGGTTTGCGTGGAAAAAAACGACGGTGCGTACGAAAATAAAATAAATATAATGGAAACAAAATTAAAAATATAAACACAAAACGGGACGGAGCTCGGATGAATGGAAAACGCGCACCACTTCCCGCACAAATGCACAATGCAACACACACTCCGGGCATTGGTGGCACCGTGGAGGGGGTTGTTTTATTTATTTTTATTTCTTTTTCGTTTAACGTTTTTTCAACGGCCGACCAATAGGAGGCCGCATAGAAATCGGTTCATTATAATGTTGTTTGGAGTGCACGCGGGGCCCGACGAATCGGACAACAAATCGGAATTTCGATATGGAAACGAAAACGAAAAAAAAGGTAACCCCCCGAGAAAAAGACGCGCGTCAACTCGGGACGACGCGTAATTCTGGAAAATGTCAAAAAATCGATACGGAAATCGATTACACCACGACGGACACCATTACTAGTCGTCGTCGTCCATTTCGCCCCTAAGAAAGCGTCCGGCGGCCCAACATAAAAAAAAAATCTAAATCGTGGCCGTCGAATTCAGAAAGACGAAAAGGGAAAATGAAATAAACGCGACACGCCGGCAAACGGGAGGTCGGCGATGGCGGTCGTTGGGCGCGTAACGGCGTCGTTACCCGCCATTATTCGCGCGCGCGGCACGGCGATATTATCGATCTGATTCCGCGCGCCGGTCCCGCCGACAGATAATAGTAGTAGTAATAATAATAATAAWAAATTTAAAACCAACGCAGACGCGCTAATTTATTTATTTTTTAAATTTTATATTTAATACTCACGGTGTCGTCTGTGGGTTGGAGCGTAACGTGACGTGAAATTCAGCCGAAACGGTGAAAAATTCGGTGCGGAACGACTGGAAACGGATATCTGACGGAACGAAAACTTAAACCCAAGCGCTCAGCAAAACGGTCGGCGGCGAAATAATAACAAATTAAATAAATAAATATAAACGCCGTGTTCTCAACGGTTCGAAAACAACATGTCGACTGTTGACAACAAAAACGCGGCGCCCCATTGGCCGGCCGGCCGCCGTCACCACCGCGTCAGTTACGCCGGTAATCCGTCGCTAAGTTCCAAGAGGTAAACACAAGCAACCCGTCGGACAAACACGATAACGCGTGATTACTGATAAGGGTCTGTCTGAGACACTTTCCTGAGTGACGTGTGTGACGTGTCTCYGYGCCCCGTAACTATTACGATTGCAACTTTTTTTTTCATTATACAATATTTTCCGTGACTGGTTCGACGGAAAATTATGCGATCGTRAATACCATAGAGGACRATAATATATATTCTTAACCGTTTGACGAAACGCAGTTGGTCTGGCCGTCATCCGTTCCGAATTGTTGTACCATTACACCGGGGACCGTTTAGCCGAGAATACTTCAATGGCGTTCAAACGGGACAAAAAAGAAGAAGAAGACGGTAATGGTTTGTTTCCATACTCCGCTCAAAGCYTAGTGTCTATTTTGCACCWCATCATATGCTATCTRTGTATTTAAGTCCCAGTGCTATTTTATTTTTATTTTTCCCCACCCGATTACTGAATGACACATACCTGCATTCATCTGTTGTTTTTCTATGTTCTTATAGTGTAYACAAACCGTTGATCTACTGCTGTTTCCACATCATATTATGTGTACTTTTTTCATATTTTCTTCAAAATGATTCTTGAATGTATAATTCTTCTTTGTTTTCTGTCTTTTTAAATCAATATTCTCTTACAATCATGTTCAAACGTAAAAGCAAATGTGTTTTTAAAGGAGGCAATCCATATCAGAATCTTGAAAAAACCAGTGTTCTCCAGGAAGCAAGGACATTCAATGAYACTCCTGTTAATCCAAGAAAATGCACTCACATACTCACCAAAATATTGTATATGATCAACCAGGTATGTTCGGCTTTGTGATAATGTTTTGTTTTAAGATTAATTTAAAATTAAACTTGAAATTAAAGGGTGAACAACTTGGWACAGCAGAAGCAACTGAAACATTCTTCGCTATGACCAAACTATTTCAATCTCGGGATATTATATTAAGAAGAATGGTTTATCTTGGAATTAAGGTTRAACATTATTAATAATTTCTTTTATACTTTTAAATGTAAAAATTGATTTTAWTATTCTTAGGAATTAAGTKCAATAGCAGAAGATGTAATTATTGTAACTTCAAGTTTAACCAAAGATATGACTGGAAAGGAAGATACATATAGAGCAGCTGCTATTAGAGCGTTGTGTAGTATTACTGATGTATGTATAGTAAACATTATGTACCTACTATAAAATATTAAAATATTTTATTGTTGGTTTTATTTAATGTTAAGGTGTCCATGTTGCAAACAATYGAACGTTATATGAAGCAAGCAATTGTTGACAAAAATCCTGGCATCAGCAGTGCTGCTTTAGTGAGCTGTTTACATTTATGTAAAAACAGTTCGGCTACTGATGTWGTCAAACGTTCACTCAATGAAATTCAAGAGGCTCTGAATTCYGACAAGTATWTCAATTTTACTTAATTGTCCTTTTATTTTATTATTTACCTGATAAAAATGTTCATTATAGTGTAATGGTTCAATATCATGCATTAGGACTATTGTTTCACATTCGGAAAACAGATCGTCTAGCTGTTTCAAAACTAGTGGCTAAACTTACAAAAATAAATATGAAATCACCATTTGCAGTTTGCATGTTGGTAAGTAGTTTTTAAAGTTATTTATTTATTTTAAGCTCAATTAGTTATTAAAATTAATATTTCAAATTTTCAGATACGAATGGCATGTAAATTATTAGAAGAAGAAACAATTCCACGTTCYGAATCTCCATTGTTTGAGTTTGTAGAGTCGTGCATTCGTCATAAATCAGAAACTGTTGTWTATGAAGCAGCACATGCAATCGTTCATTTGAGTGGTACTGGAGCAAGGCATTTGGCACCGGCTGTGTCTGTGTTACAACTATTTTGCTCATCTGCTAAACCAACTTTACGGTTTGCTGCTGTTCGAACACTTAACAAAGTAATTATTAATAATTCTAAATAAAAAATTATATATTTATATTATTAATTTAATTTTAAGGTTGCAATGGAGCACCCTAGCACAGTTACTGCTTGTAATTTGGATCTTGAAAACCTAATTAGCGATTCTAATCGTTCAGTAGCCACTTTAGCTATAACAACATTATTAAAAACAGGTGCTGAAGCATCAGTGGATCGTCTGATGAAACAAATTGCAACATTTGTTAGTGAAATTTCTGATGAGTTTAAAATTGTTGTTGTTCAGGTAATAATGAATTATTTTATAATTTTTTTTTAAATTTTTATATGAAATTTACAATCTGTACTTAATAGCATGATAAGTAAATATGAAAATATTATAACATAAAAACTCTTATATTTAACAACAATTTTCAAATATTTAGGCCATTAGGGCATTATGTTCAAAATTCCCTCGCAAACACACGGTTTTAATGAACTTTTTGTCTGGAATGCTAAGAGAAGAAGGTGGACTCGAATACAAAGCATCAATAGCTGATACAATAATAGCAATTATAGAAGAAAATCCTGAAGCAAAAGAGATTGGTAAGTTGTATTTAGATTATGTGTTTTACTAATTTGCATCATAATATTAGACWGAAATGRATTGATGTTAACTTAATTTTTAAGTCGAATTAGATAAAATTAACTATTATCTCAATAATGTTGATACATATGCTCTGTTAAAATCAAGAAAGAGTCGGCGGCCACTAGTTTTCATTGGTGGCACTCAAACAACACTCATTTTTTACCGTCACCAAATCTAATCATATTTTTATTTTCCTGCCATGTAGTATTGCAAGACTCTTGCATACAAGTCAGCTGGAGCTGTGTTTCATAACTTGAATACAGTATTGATCAGCGATTCTGAAATTGAATGTTGCCCATAATTTTTAAGGTCACCAATACATACAATTTTCAATTTTATCTTTTAAAAAATCTTAGTAACATTATAGACAGGGGAACTACTGATATAGATGATAGATTTTTACTTGAAATTCCATAACATTTTTATATGCCTACCATGATCTATTTCGTAATTGATTTTAATTATCCTAATATTTATATTTGATTAGGGTTAGCACACCTTTGTGAGTTTATTGAAGATTGTGAACATACTAGTTTGACAGTTCGTATATTACATTTATTGGGTAAAGAAGGGCCTCGCACAAAACAACCATCAAGGTATTTATAAAAAATATCATCAAAAATTTTATAAATATATTCAATAAAATTATAATTTTTAGGTTTATAAGGTTCATTTACAATAGGGTGATATTAGAAGGTGCGGTTGTAAGAGCTGCAGCAGTTGGAGCTATGGCTAAATATGCTGCTAACTGCGCAATGCTTAACGATAGTATAAAAGTACTTTTGAAGAGATGTTGTCTAGATGTTGATGATGAAGTCAGAGATAGAGCAACATTTTATAGTCAATTATTGAGTTCCAATAATCGTCAGTTAATTACTGATTATTTGTCGGAACCTATGCATGTAATTTTTACTAATTAAACTATAATACATTTTTTTATTGCTTAATTAAACTTTAAWTAAATGATATTTRATAGGTATCATTGCCAGTTTTGGAAAAGACTTGTCAAGATTATGTTTTAAATCCCACAAAAGAACGTATTAGATTTAATGAATTACCAGTTGATATWGTAGTTAAAAATGTTTCTCAAGAACCAACCAGAAAACAAAATGTTGATAATGCTGTTAAACCAGGTAAATTATGTTAAAATATCAAAGTAAATATGTGTCTTAAATTAAAATATTTTAATTAGAATAGATAAAGTTCAGAAGTCAATCATCAAATCAAATTTTTAATTAAATACTCATAATTKTTATAATATATGTATGAAACGATGCTTGGCATAACTATATTTTTATTAATTTAGTTGTTAGTTATCCCTCATTTGTAGTGAAATCTAATTTATAACCCAATATATATACATAAATATTGTTTTCTTATACTATAAATTTGAACTAAGCCAAGAGTTTTAAAACACTTTAYACTAATCRTCTAATATTGGATGCTTTAATGATGACAGTAGTTAAAACCAATATTAARTTAACCACTTGGTTTGTGCTTTGTWGAACATTTTTTTTTCTAAGAGATACTTAAGGTTTTGATTTTTGTCATGATTATAGTATTAGAAAAGTAAAAAAATCAATACCGGTTTCAACTCCTTATTTTTATTTCAATTTTAAACTTACAACTATTAGTTTCTACCAGTAGGTAATGCCATAATTTTGTCATCTGTTATTTGGTCACTTATTTCTTTCTGGGGTATTTTATATATTTTTAAACATAATTAATATTTTGTTTTTGCCTGCTAAATATAGTTGAAGTAATTGTTGAAAATGTGGACGGCCAAAAATTGCCTAGTCTGGTTGATTTAGACGCTGGTAAACTTTTCTGTTCTTCTGAACCTTCCATGTTGACCGAACCAGAAACTGAATATGTTGTGCGGTGTACTAAACATATATTTAATCATCATTTGGTTTTACAAGTAAGTATAGTGATATTTAATTGTTGTTATTTGCTGAAAAATTWACATTTTTTAATTTTAGTTTGAAATCACCAACACGTTAGATGATCAAATTTTAGAAGATATTTCTGTTGCACTGGATATAAGTGAAGGTTTCCAGTATTTAAATGAATTTAAGTGYCCCTCAATAAAATATCAAGAAACTGGCAATGTTTATGTTTACTTAAAATTCCCAGATGATTCAGTTGACGCTATTGGTAAATTTTTATTAAATTGTTTGTATTATGTACATTATTTTTTTTTTTTTTTTTTTTTTTAGCAAGTTTTACTGCCAAAATGAAATTTATTGTTAAGGACTGTGATCCCTTGACTGGTGAAGTTCAAGATGATGGCTATCAAGAAGACTACAGAGTATGTACCTATMAATTGATTGCA